AAGCAGAAAGTTAAGAGTCATCCAGGTTTTTATGTCTTCAGACATGCCTGTAATCTATGTAATGGGTTGGCTTCATCTGGATTATAGACAGATATAGCTGGGTATCATCAGCATAACAGTGGAAATTAATCCCATGCTGTCTAATAATAATGGGAGCATGTATATAGTAAAGAGAATTGGTCCTAGCACTGATCCCTGTGGTACTCCACAGGTAACCTTTGACCGTGAACATAATTTGTCATTAACCCTGTAAAACCCAAATATAGAAACACACACACACACAAAAAAATTCAACCACTGAGATGTTGTTGTAGGAGGCCTTTGAGGCTGAAAATGAAGTGTCTTAAAAAATTTCTTGTTTTAGTAAGTTCTTAAAGAAATGTTGCAACATTGGGCCAAATGGGGAGCAGAATTTCAGACAATACAGAACTACGGATTCATTTGCAGGGTTTTTCTTTTATCCCAGAATGGTATAACATGAAAAATAATCTTAGTCATGTTTTTATGAATATATATATGAACATATTTGAAAAGAGAAGAATCAATATTAATAATAATTAACAATTCATGTACATGTCAAATATCATGAGAGTCTGACAGTGCTGTTTGTAGAGGAGCCAGGCGTTGATCACAGTGAGGGTGATTGTGTGCCAGAAGATGTACATGTACCAACGCCGGGATTTCAGGGTGAACTTATATTTTGCTCTAAATGAGTCCAACAAATCCACACCTCCCATGTATTTGTTGTAGGTAGCCACAATGAAAGGTCTTTCAACATCAATGTAGGTTTTGGTGGCTAAATCTCCTGCACAGGTTCTGGTCCAGTGAAGGATGAAACAAGTGTGACTGCCCTGTTGTCATACCATCTCACAGCGCAGATGTTGTGTGTCCCCTCCACTCTGTAGTCACAGCTTCCTCTACCCTTGTTCTTTAAGCTCTTCTCATCTTCAAAGCTGCATTTGCCTGGCTGTACCCACATAATGGATTCCATGCTCAAGAAGCTTCACTACCAGTGGAACAAAGGTGGAGTAGTTGTTCCGTAAAAATTCAAAAAATATCCATTGGACTTGGTTTTCAAGACTTAGTTGTCTAAGATTTAGTTGTTAGTTGTCTGTGGAGTAGTAGTCTGCATAGATCTTGTAGTTCTGACCCTTTGGAAGTGTGGAGGCAAGCTTCAATACAACATCACCTGACATTCCAAGTTCAGATTTGATGCGTATTTCATTCTTGCTGCCCTTGTAAACATCACAATCAAGCATCATGCCAGAGATTCCAGCTCTCACCCATACTTTGAACCCCCATGGATGTGGCTTGCCTCGCATATACTGCTTGATGCTGCTGAACTTCCCCTTGAAAGGAATCATCATTTCATCCACAGAATTGTGCTCTCCTGGTACCACCTGCAGGCATTTCTCCCTGAATGATTCAAGCCATGGTCTAAGTTTCCAGAGTTTGTACCTCTTTTCAATCTCTGACACTGTCAAATTGTTCACAAAATGTAATTTTGTCAACAGAGCTTGGAATCTGTTGTGTGGCATCACATCAGCAATAGAGGGGTGCCGTGAATCTGCCTCCCAGTACATACGGCTTTCAGACCTTCGGTACATGCCCAACATTTTCTGTATTTCCTTTGTACTAGTGTTAACAGACATTCCATCATTTTGAACACTGTATCTCATTTGTACTTGTAGCCAGAGCTTGAATCATGTCCTCTGACACAAACTTTTGGAAGTATTGGAGTGGTGTGTGGAGGAAGGTTACATCGTCTGTGATAGGTGGACCAGAAAAATCGGTATTGGGACTGATAAAATCCTTTTTTAGCCACCGATATCTGTCACGGCACATGATGTGTTCATTTTCTTTGGGCTCAATGTCCACATTGGCTGGGCAGTCAGACGGCTCTTGGTTTTCTTTGTCCACACAGGGATCATTGTCTGACTCCTCGTCACTCGCATCAGTGTCATCAAGGGGTATGTCCACATCACTGTCTCCATCTTGGATGATTGCAATGATATCCTGCACACTGTACCGAGGATCTTTCCTTGCTGCTGGCATTCTGAAATGGAAAAGATAAAATTAAAACAAATGTGTATATATACATAGTACATACAGTATACTTATATTCTAGATAGCCTGCAGGAAAAGACTAGCCTGACGTAGTCCTACTCAATTCTAGTCAGAATATGAGTCTGATACTGCTCCATAGAGCTGTGATTATGGGGCGTGTTTTGAACAAACCAGGAAAAAAAATGCCTCTGCACTCAATTGGATAGACATATAACCAATAAGAGCAACGGAGTGCGTGATGTATGTTAAGCGATGCATAGTTGTTGTCAACAAAAATCAAAGCGTGCAGTTGCACGCCTAGAATAAGAA